GTGTACATAAATTTTCATCCAAAAATTCCATTTTGAGGTATATACACAAGCCCCAAACTGGGAACTACCCAATGTCAATCAGAACTACAATGGAAAATAAATTAAGGAGTATAGACACAATTGGAAATTATAAAGCCGTGAGAATGAGTTAACCATAACTATACAGAACAAAACAAAATGGAAACACAAAAGAGTACATACTCTATGCTTTATCTATAAAACAGCCAAACTGACCAATCATATATGAAATCAAAATAATGGCAATAAAATAATATGGTTAAACACATGATTTTTTGAAGTCACACATGTCTGAGGTTAAATCTTATGACAGCTACTCAGTTCCTATCCCTGGGTTTTAGTTTGATTCTCTGTAAATATGAAAAATATTAACATCTTTATAAGAGAAATGTGCTCAGGAGTAAATAAATATACATTTGAATGTTTGATGAATGCCAGCTGCAATAGCTACTCTCATCTGTTTCATAGATACAGCAGTTTGGTGACTTCTGGATTTCTCACACATGAAGTAAGTGAGCTCTAGTGGTATTGTGAAAACTCAGATAGATAGGTGTTGATATCAATACCAGATAGGGTTACAAAGAAAAAAATAAAGACTCTAAAACTTCCTAAAGCCCAGGGAAATGGGCACCGAAATTTCACAAGCTTGCAGAGAACTTCAGGGTACAGGAGGGCTTGTAGTTTCACTGCAGAATATTAATGCACACAACCCAGACAGCAGGTAGAGAAAAAGAACAATCAGGTGAACATAAATATGAGAAGAAACTTAAAATTAGACCGAGAAAAGAAAGTTAAGAGTTAAAAGTGTTTTTAATAAGACCTAGCCCTTCAACAGATGAATGGATAAAGAAGATGTGGTCCATATGTACAATGGAATATTACTCAGCCATCAGAAAGGATGAATAACCACCATTTGCATTGACATGGATGGAACTGGAGGGGATTATGCTAAGTGAAATAAGTCAAGCAGAGAAAGTCAATTATCATATGGTTTCACTTATTTGTGGAACATAAGGAATAGCAGGGAGGACCATAGGGGAAGGGAGGGAAAACTGAAGGGGAAGAAATCAGAGAGGGAGACAAACCATGAGAGACTCTGGACTCCGGGAAACAAACTGAGGGTTACAGAAGGGGTAGCCGGATGATGGGTATTAAGGAGGGTATGTGTTGTGATGAGCACTGGGTATTATATGCAACTAATGAATCATTGAACACTACATCAAAAACGAATGATGTACTATATGTTGGCTAACTGAACATAATAAAATTTTTTAAAAAAAATAAATAAATCCATAAAAAAAAGACCTAGCCAGGTTACAACTTTTAAAAGAAACACATTTACAGCCCCCAAGAGTACCCATGACAGCAAGGTTGAATGAACAACACCAAGGACTCTTTAGAGTCCTTGGCTCTAAAGATTTTCTGAAGAACACGTTTCATGTCCTTATTCTTCAGACTATAGATGAAGAGGATCAGCATGGGGGTGACCACCATGTACATCACAGAAGCAAGTATGTTGCCTGATGAAGGGAAAAAGTAAACACCAGCAATTGTCCCATAGTATAAAAACACTACAGAGAGGTGGGAGCCACATGTGGACAAGGCTTTGAAGTTTCTTTTGGAGGAGAGGACCTTCAGAATGATGCATGCCATGTGGATATACGAGCCCAAGATACCACTCAATGGCAGGATGAAGATCAGTCCTCCCTCAATGAGAATAAGCAGCCTATTGCAGGAGGTGTTGAGCAGGAGGACTTTAGCAAAACAGCAAGATTACAAAAGTGGCGAACAATAGTTCCTGCACAGGACAACAGTCCATGAAGAAGGCATGCAACAGAGCATGGGTACAAGATAAAAACCAGGACCTAGCCACTAGGATGATACAAAACTCATTCCTCAAGATGGTGGTATAATGGAGAGGGTAACAGATGGCCACAGACCTGTCATAGGCCATCACTGTGAGAAGAAAGCTATCAGTACAACTAAAATTAGTGAAGAAATACATTTGTGAAATGCACCAAGCATAAGGGATGGACTGATCTCAAGCATCCGTGTTTATCATCATCTTAGGAATAGTGACAGATGAAAAGGAGACATCTGTGAAGCCAAGTGGCTGAGGGAGAGGTATGGGGGTGTGGAGGCAAGAATCTAGCCTGATGAGCAGGTTTCCCAGCACCATGGTCAGACACATGCCTAGGAACAGGGCAAAGAACATGACCTGTTGCTCCAGCCAGATGGGGGAGCCCAGGAGGTGGAACTTGGACATGCAGCTCTGGTTCTCTGACCTCATACTGCTTTTCTATATGCTAGAGATGAAGAAGTTTTGGGAATCTCAGAAACCTAGAAAGAACTATCACATCTCATACTGTAATTTTTTGGGAAAGCAATAAATTTTTAACTAAACTCATTAATTTTTCACACCTGTGAATGCATGTACCTTCACTCTGTCCCATTCTGGCTCCAGGAAAACATCTCACCCAAGAGCAGCCAACAAGACCTCATTGCATAAAGTAAGAGGGTGTTTGCTGTTTTACTCAACCATTGTTCCACTGAACATTGAGTCTGTATCAGGACCTCTACTAAGGAATGAGAATGTAGACATAAACAAGAAAGGCAAAGACCTTGCCCTCTATGAGTATAGATCTTTTTGAATGTAGAGGGATAATTTACTACACCAAGACACAGCCCAACTGTAATAGTTCACTGTGGCAGAAATAGTAGATGACCCTTGGAAAACTGGTGTCAGTTATTTAAATGCCTTAAAATGACATGAGACTCCAGTGCTGAGGTGGCATTGTTGGGGTGTTGTCATTCTCCTGTGAACCTGGCTTCATAATATCAGACTAGTGATTTTATCCTTGATCAGTTGGTTAAAGTGGTGTCTGCCAGGTTCTCTACTGTAAAGTTACTATTTTAACTTCTGTAATTAGTATCATTTGAGTAGATACTTTAAAATGATATAACCCTAACTTTTTTCTTATTAAAATTTCACCCACTATGTTTAACACTTTTTTCCCCTTTGCTCTTTTGTTTTGTTTCTTAAATTCCATATATGAGGGGAGATCATGTGGTATTTGTCATTCTCTGACTTATTTCACTTAGAATAATACTCTCTAGCTCCATCCATGTTGTTGCAAATGGCAATATTTCATTCTTTTTGATAGCTATTATTCCATTGTGTGTGTGTGTGTGTGTGTGTGTGTACTACATCTTAGCGTGTGTGTGTGTGCGTGTACCACATCTTATTTTTTTTTCTCAGATCTAGGGTTAGGGTTAGGGCCAGGGTGAGAGTATGTGCCTGGTATCCTGCAGTTCGGACACTCTGGAAAACATACAGAGGTTCCTCAAAAAGTTAAAAATAGAGCTACCCTATGACTCAGCAATTGCACTACTAGGTATTTACTCCAAAGATACAAATGTAGTGATCTGAAGGGGCACCTGCACCCCAATGTTTATAGCAGCAATGTCCACAGTAGCCAAACTATGAAAAGAGCCCAGATGTTCATAGATGAATGGATAAATAAGAGGTGGTATATATATACAATGGAATATTACTCAGCCATCAAAAGGATGAAAGCTTACTATTTACATCAACATGGATGGAACTGGAGGTTATTATACTGAGCAAAATAAGTCAATCAGAGAAAGACAATTATCATATGGTTTTGGAATATAAGAAACAGGGCAGAGGACCATAGAGGAAGGGAGGGAAAACAGAATGGGAAGAAATCAGAGGGAGACAAACAATGAGAGACTCAACTATAGGAATCAAACTGAGGGTTGCTGAAGGGGAGGTGGGTGGTGGGATGGAGTAATTGGGTGACAGGCATTAAAGAGGGCACATGATGTGATGAGCACTCAGTGTTACATGCAACTGATGAATTACTGAACTCTACACCTGAAACTAATGATATACTATATGTTGGCTAATTGAATTTAAACAAAAATTTAAAAAAGAAAACATATAGTAATGTGAAAAATATAAATTCAAATATATCGTATTAAATGTTACTAGATCAAATTCCCCAGAAATACAATGAATATGGATCTATCTAAAAAGAACACAACCTAACTTCACAGTGCTAATGAGGAACGTCTCACAGATATAAGGACATAGAACAGTTTAAAGAAAATTGATGGAAAAGAAATACCATTGGGTAGCCAGGTGATGGGTATTAAGGAGGGCACGTGTTGTGATGAGCACTGGGTGTTATACACAGCTAATGAATCGTTGAACACTACATCAAAAACTGATGGTGTACTATATGTTGGGTAACTGAACATAATAAAGAAAAGACATACCATGTAAACACTAACCAAAAGAAAGCTGACATAGCTCTACTAATAATCAGAAGAAGTAGATGAGAAGATGTTAAGGCAGGAGCTGCTGCTAGAGATAAAGAGAAATATCTCCTATTTATAAATGCAGTGGTATGATGTTAAATGAATAAAAATAGCTCTGAGAGAGGAGCCTTGCTTTGCAGCCTTTGCCAGTTACCATAGTGTAATTATTTCCAGTATGGCTGATTTCAGTCTACCAATGTGATATCATTGAATGTGGAGTTGAAAGAGATGTTCACATTCAACTTGAAGCCAATGTAAGCCAGCTTCAGCACACCACTGCTTTAAAGAATCAGTACACAGGAGCAGATCATGATGCTAAATCTGCATGTCATCAATAACATAGCATATAAAATACATAAGCAATAACTGAGCATATCTAAAAGGGGAAAAATAAATCCACAATTACAATTATGCAGCATGCTTCACATAAGATTTTGCACATATAAGAGATGATGAACAAGGAGGAAAAGATTAAGGGTAAAGAATATTTAACAATCCAAGTAACAAACATATTAACAACACTATGACAGCAGAATGTATATTCGTTTTAAGTTACATAGAGTTGCCAACCATACAATAGTTTTAGGAGATATATCTCACTGTGCATGACTGCAATAATCGGATGTAGTGATTGTCACTTAAAAGTTAGCCCTCTTGACAAATATTTCTAGGGCCTGTTTTATACCTTTGTTCCTCTGGCTATAGATGAAGGGGTTCAGCAGAGGGGTAACTACAGTATACATGACCGAAGCAATTATGTCTTTGTCATTGCAGTCCCATGATGAGGAGAAAAAGTAAACACCTGCAAGTGTCCCATAGTATAAAGACACCACAAAAAGATGGGAGCCACAGGTAGAAAAGGCTTTAAAGAGTCCCTTAGTAGAGGGGATCCTCAGCACAGTTGTCCCTATACGGATATATGAGCCCAAGATACTACTCAAGGGCAGGATGAAAAACATTCCTCCTTCAGTAAAGATGACCAGTTCATTGAGAGAGATGTCTGAGCAGCTCATCTTCAGGAGCACAGTAAGGTTGCAGAAGAAGTGGGGGATGATATTATCAGCACAGAAGGACAGTTGGACCAAGAGAAGGGTGTGCAACAGGGCATGGATGCAACAGAAGAACCAGGACCCAGCTACTAATGAGATACGCAGCTCCTGCCTCATGACAGTGGTGTAGTGGAGTGGCTGACAGATGGCCACATACCTGTCGTATGCGATCACCGCAAGAAGGAAGTTGTCAAGACGACCAAAAACTATGAAAAAATACATCTGAGAAATACACCCACATAGGGAATGGATTGTTGCTGAGTCTGCATATTCATGAGCATCTTTGGAACTATAATAGATGAAAGGGAAATATCAGAGAAGGCCAAGTGGCCGAGGAAGAAGTACATGGGCGTGTGGAGGCGAGGGTCCAGCCTGATGAGCAGGATCATGAGCAGGTTCCCCAGCACCGTGGTCAGGTACACGCCCAGGAACAGAGCGAAGAACACGCCCTGCTGCTCTGGCCGGAAGAGGAGCCCCAGGAGGAGGAACTGGGACACGCTGCTCCGGTTCTCCTTCCTCATGCTGTTTTTATCTCTTCTGGCAATTGCGGAAAATAGGGAATGTCAGTAAACATGTTATAACATTTGTTTATTTCTCACAACTCTTGGTGCATGAGTTAATTTTTTTAACGATTTAGATATTTTATTTATTTATTTATTTATTTATGTTAGTCACCATACAGTACATCATTAGTTTTTGATGTGGTGATCCACGATTCATCGTTTTCGTATAACACCCAGTGCTCCATGCAGTACGTGCCCTTCTTAATACCCATCACTGGGCTACCCCATCCTCCCACCTCCCCTTCCTTCTAAAACCGTCTGTTTGTTACTCGGAGTCCATGGTCTCTCATGGTTCGTCTCACCCTCTGATTTCCTCCCCTTCATTTTTCCCTTCCTTCTCCTAATGTCCTCCCTGCTATTCCTTATGTTCCACAAATAAGTGAAACCATATGATAATTGACTTTCTCTGCTTGACTTATTTCACTTAGCATAATCTCCTCCAGTCCCATCCATGCTGATGTAAAAGTTAAGAATTTCAGGCCAATATCCCTGATGAATATGGATTCCAAAATTCTCAACAAAATCCTGGCGAATAGGATCCAACAATACATTAAAAGGATCATCCACCACGGATCAAGTGGGATTTATCCCCGGGATGTGAGGGTGGTTCAACATTCGCAAATCAATCAGTGTGATAGAACACATTAACAAGAGGAGAGAGAAGAACCATATGGTCCTCTCAATTGATGCAGAAAAACCAGTTGACAAAATACAGCATCCTTTCCTGATTAAAACTCTTCAGAGTATAGGGATAGATGGAACATTCCCCAAATTCATAAAATCCATCCATGAAAAACCCACAGTGAATATATTCCTCAATGGGGAAAAGCTGTTCCTTTCCCTTAAGATCAGGAACATGTCAAGGATGCCTACTCTCGCCACTATTGTTCAACATAGTACTAGAAGTCCTAGCAATAGCAATCAGACAACAAAAAGAAATAGGTATTCAAATTGGCAAAGAAAAAGTCAAACTCTCTCTTTTCACAGATGACATGATACTTTATGTGGAAAACCCAAAAGACTCTACCCCCAAATTACTAGAACTCATACAGCAATTCAGTAATGTGGCAGGATACAAAATCAATGCACAGAATCAGTTGCTTTCTTATACACTAATGGTGCATGAGTTAATTTGTTCATCTCTAGCTCTAATGATATATGAAACTGTCACATTAACCAGATTTTTCCCCCAAACAACTAAAGGACATTTATTCATCTGACAGAGAGAGACAAAGCGAGAGAAGAAACATAAGCAGGAGAAGTGGGAGAGGAAGAAGCAGGCTTCCTGCTGAGCAGGGAGCCCGATGCAGGACTCGATTCCAGGACCCTGGGATCATGACCTGAGCCGAAGGCAGATGCTTAACGACTGAGCCACCCAGGCGCCCCTCAACAAATATTTATTGAACAAAAGCTTTGTCCCATATCGAGTACATAGTAGTGAACAAGAAATAGGAAGTCTCTTGTGTTCAAGGAGTTTATATCTTTATATCAAGCCAGGTTCACAAACATCAGATTTGGGAAAAGATAATAAAAATTCCTCCTATTACCTATTATGTTACAGGCATGGTGCTGAATAATTTGTGTGCATTGCCTCATTTATCCTCAAAATAGCATGATGAAGTAAAAATGGTTACCTCTCCTTTGCCAGTGAAGAATCTGAGCCAGAGAGAGGAAGTCGCTTCCTAAGATCATAAAATATATAAGAGCCAGACTGAACATTGGGCCCCAGTCTGCCATACTGCAAACACCGAGCTTACACTCATTAGTATATAATACCTGCCCAGGACTGGAAATGCATGTAAACCTGCCTGCTTATATATATATATAGCTACTTTTGAAACACAGTTAAGGAAGTAATTGAGTTCATAGGAAAGAACCAGAGGCCCCTAAGACAAGTACATGAAACATACAACAACAACAACACATTCTAAACATTTGGAACCACATAAAATATGACTTACAAACAAAATACAATATCACACATAATCACACACTGAGCTGACAGTTCAAGACCTCTTACCTATTTCTGGTCATGAGTAAATTCAGGAAACTTCTCCCCCAGACTAGGGAGCATATGTGTCTTTCTTCAGACTACACAATCTCATTTACTTAATTATGATGTCTGTCCAAGGATGAAAATGTGGGAGTTACAGAAAGAGACGTGGGGCAAACACTTGAATTCAGTGGGACTGATTAGAAGATCCCAGATCACACACACAAATGCCCTGCACTTGTTTAAAGGGGCAACACTTATTTAGACTTCTATGCTCTTGTCTAAGAGAGGAAAAGAATAGAACTGGGAGTCAATTACACACACACACACAAACACACATGCGCACACAAAGAAAATTCATGAAGAAAACGTACTTATGTATCTGCATTGTACAGGCAAGGAAACACCACACAGACCCATACATATGTAGAACTCTAGACACAGAGATACACCTTGCCCACCTAGAATTCCCAGCTCACTCTGACCTGTGCCACTCCTTAGTGAGCTCAGGTACCTTCTAAAACATTTTCCTGAGTCCTCACCTTCTGTTGAGAACACCAGGAACAAAAAGTAAGAAGAAAGCCTCTGTGAGCCCATGACCTCATGAGCTCTCTGTGTCTGTCCTTGAGCTCCAGAGCAACAGGCAGGAGATAACAATTTTACAAACCTCAGAGAGGACTCATGGAAAGTCTCTAAGCTCCTGGTTAAGGAAAGACTCAAGCAGACTAATGGCCACCAATTCCTATCAGACCTTGGGGAGGAGCCTGTGCAGGGGCTGGAGGGACTGAGCTGATAGAGCCACCTGAGAGGGTGACCCAGATCTCAGGGACACTCTAGGCTCTTCTCTGCCTGTTCATAGTTCCAGGGGCAAGTAGGAATGGCTTAGCCTCCATCATCAGTGTTGCCAATGCACTGGGTCAGCCTCTCCCAACAGCACATTATGGTCCAGGAAGAATAAGTCTGGCTTCTGCAAACTTCCACACCACTTGCTACCATGAGCACTCAATCTAGCTTTAACTTCACATCCTGCAGGTCCCCTCTGTCTCTCGGGAGAGACTTCAGGGTGTGGAGATGTGCCTTTTCCAAGAGAGCGTAGAGGGAGGAGATTGAGTCCTTGGGCTCAGTTCTCAGAAGAACTGGGTCTGGGCTATGCCTCTCATTAATTGTTGGCCCTGAGCACATAAAGTAATCCCCTCAGCCCTGTTACATCACCTGTAAAGTGTGGATAAAAATACATTGTCCTCAGAAGTTATTCTTGAAATTAAATGAGATGTTTCATGCAAAAGCACATAAATGCACAATGGACATCAGCTATTTTAATCATTATCTTTGTATCTTCCAAAAAAGATAATGATATCTAGAATCACTGTTATTGCCATAGGATTGCTATTGAATGAATAATTGAATTAACTGATTAATTAATTCTTCCAATCTAATAGTAAGAATTTATTCCTTCCCTAAGGGATTAAATGAGTTAAAACACATAATGAACTTAGAACATTTTCTGGCATTTTCTAAGTCCTGAATAAACTTTGACTATTTTGTTGCTATGTTTTACAGACTCATTACCTTCAGCTGCTTACACATGCTCCCACATTTGTTTCATTAACATTGTAGTTATTGATAACTCCCATCTTGTTCAAACCAAAATGTAGGAATCCTTTAGCTACCAGAGGAGAGTTGAGTGGGGGGATAGGTTCAGTAGGTGATGGGGATTAAGGAGCACCCTTGTTGTGATGAGCACTAGGTGTTGTATGGATGTGTTGAATAACTATATTGTACACCTGACACTAATATTACTCTGTAAGTTAACTAACTGGAATTTATTTATTTCTTAAAATATTTTATTTTATTTTATTTTATTTTATTTTATTTTATTTTATTTTGTGCAAATATCTTCATATCTTATTATCTCTTTTTTAACTTAAATTTAATTAGCCAAGGTATAATACATCATTAGTTTTTGATATAATGTTCAATGATTCATTAGTTGAATGTAATACCCAGTGCTCAACATATTTTAACTCCCATCACCCAGTTACCCCATCCCCCCACCTACCTCTCTTTCCGCAACCCTCAGTTTGTTTCCTGGAGTCAAGGGTCTCGTATGGTTTGTCTTCCTCTCTGATTTCTTCCCAGTTTTCCCTCCCTTCCCCTAATGTCTCCTGCACTATTCCTTATGTTCCACATATGAGTAGACGCTTAACTGACTGAGCCACCCAACATCTCAACTAACTGGAATTTAAATAAAAACTTTTTTTAAAAAATGCAGGAATCCTTGACTCCTACCTTTCTCTCACACTCCTCTCAATTCATCAGCAATTCTTGTCAGTTCCAACTTACAACCAAATACAGTATTCACCAAATTTTTACTACTTCCTCTGCTACCATTCCAGCCTATCATTTCTTAACTGTACTGTTGCAGTAGCTCCTACGTGGCCCCCCTGCTTCCACACAGCTCCCTTCTCCAGCCAGAGTGATCCTTTTCAAAGCTGAATCGTGTTACTCTTCTGCTGAGAAGTTTCCAAGTGCTATACAAATAATTCACAGTAAAAATCAAATCACAAAGCCTAAAGGACCTAGGCCCTGTTGGCTTTAAAATTATCCATCAAACAAACAAACATATATGTCTCCTCCTGCTCTTCCACATGCTCACTCCCCTTCAGGGATGAATCTCATTTTTGTTGCTTGGACATAGCTGGCATTGTCACATCTCAGAATGTTGCAGTTGCTGTACCTGCCCCCTGAAACACTTTTCCTGCAAATGTGCCAGTGGCTCTGTTCCCTGATGCCTTCAATTCTTTGTTCAAATATCACCTTCTGGGTAAGACCAGTTGTCATCACACCACTTAAAGTTGCAGCCTGTCCCCTGCATGCCTGATTTTTCCACAGTACTACATTTTATATCATGTAAAAACCATGAAACTTACATATTAAGTTTATTTGCATTGTCTCCCCACTAGAACATAAGCTCCACAAAAGGAAAATATTTTTGTCTGATTTGTTCACTTCTAGAAATTTCCATAAACAATAGACACATTTAGCTTTTTCTTTTCTGGAAATCAAGTCATGCTGTTTGTGAAGCAAAAGATAACTCATTTTCATAACCTAGATTAAGAAGGCATAAGTAAGCTGTCCCCACAAAGAAAGTTCTAGTTAAAAAAATATATACAAGCAGCAATGTTCACAATAGCCAAACTGTGGAAAGAGCCAAGACGTCCATCGACAGATGAGTGGATAAAGAAGATGTGGTATATATACACAATGGAATATTATGCAGCCATCAAAAGGAATGAGAGCTTGCCATTTGCAACGACATTGATGGAACTGGAGGGTGTTATGCTGAGTGAAATAAGTCAATCAGAGA